AACTCATTTGCCAAACGGCTTTCAATTATAAATTTTGTTAATAATTCATTAGCACAATGTGTCGCCACTGCTGCTGCAGCTGCTGGTAGTTGTTGTCCATGTCCATGTCCATGTCCATGTTGTTGTTGTTGTTGGGTGCTGTTGCATGAGTATAGCCAAAATGCATTCTGAGAGTTCCCCTCTGCTCTGCGTTTGTCGTATTACGCATACGCCACGTGTGACACATTCATGATTTTAATTGAAATTTTAATATTTAAAGCTGAATGCATAGAGTTCTTAAAGAACAATTAATGCAATAGTTCAATTATGCTGCATCTAAGTCAAAATTTATATTGCATCTGCTTGTAAAATTAACACCGATTTACGTTAAGAGTTTCAGATATTTAGGTTAGATTAAGTAGGATGCCTCTCAATTCTTGACACTGATGAAAGCCTAAATCATTTATATATGGATATGGATAGTTATAATATAATTGACTGCATTTGATATTGCATTTTCAAGTCAAATTATATATATCTTGGATTTGATTAAAGGTGAGTGATTAAAAAGTGAATTCAGGTTTTTTTTCTTTCTGTACACAGCTGAGATCCTTAGGTCCCTTAGATCTCTCCCAATAAAAAAAAGGGAGTTGGTTAAATGTGAGCTTATTCGAATTGAGGAATGAAATGAATGCCAGCGAAAGGAGATGAGTTTGTTATCGCTGATGGTGTCAAATGAAGTCATGTCTCATACTCAGTTTCCCACTTTCTCACACTCTGACAGCAAACGTGCTGTTCTTTCCGGTCTCATTCTGGATGAACTGCCATAATGTGTACACACGCATACCAACACAAGTTGGCAACACTCCAGCAGTGTTTATGGTATGTTAACTATCCAACTTATGAGTGCTGTTCGATTGAGCTCCCTACTTAGTTGTGGGCTTGTGTGTGCCTGTTTCAATGGTGTCGCTGGCTTGCAACCCTTTTTTGGCTTTGGTTGTCATCTGGACTTACCCCCGAATGTGTGAATATCTCTATATAGACACACACACACACACAGGCACACACACAGGCACACACACAGGCACCCACACTGCAGCTGTCTGCGGCCTTATCGTTCATCAGCTGTGGCTGCTGCTGCTGCTGCTGTGGTGCCAACCTTCAAGCCTGTTGTTGATGGCATACTCTAACCACTGACTGACTGGGCCTGCCCGCCCTTGATACCCTGCACTGCGGGTGATAAATAAAAACTGTCTGCGCCTATGTGGCTGCTACTGTTTCTTTCATTTTGGCTACTGCTACTGCTGCTGCTATTTTTTCTTTTTTTTATTTATATATTTTTTTTGTTTCGGCTTTTTGGCTTGTAAGCGCTGCCCAACTCCAGTCGCCTCTCATCCTGCGGCCAACGTTTGACACATCGAACACACATGGCAAACGACAAAGTTCCCAAAAAATGCCATGGCTATTGGGTGAAAAAAATCAATTTGATTGCTTTGTTCGCTTGTCTATTGGCCATTTAAGCAGCCAAAGCACAACAGTAGCTGGCCAGGCGGATGTTGCATGCATTTGGCGTTGGCTGCGTTGGCTTAACAAGTTCATTTTGGGCCGGAATGCAACTGACGCATAAATCAATTTTACAAAAATACAACAACAAAAAATTGCCAAAAGAAAATGCAAAATGCAGCCACAAATAGTTGAATATTGCGCATACGTCATGTGGTGCATCTTTTTTTTTTTACGGCAAACTCCAACCGTCTAACATGGCTAATGATGAGTTGGCTGCTGGCCCGGCTAAGCTGACCAAAAACTTTAATGCGATGCAGACGTGGAACCTTCATCATTGACCATTCACCGTTCACCATTTGGTGCTAATTACATTTTGTGGTCAGCATAACAAGTCCAAATGACGCCAAATGGTGGAGAAAAAATTGTATATACCAGGTTAAGTGCGCGACTAGCAGATACCCTTTGTTCTGTAGAAAATCATTACCAATACATAAAAAAAATAACCATGCAAAAAATGCAGAACTTTGCTCATAAAATGTGTTTTCTTTTTTAGGAGAGTCGAAAATGATGCGACATGTGATGAAATAGATTCGATTAGCAATCAAATTTGTTGAATACAATAAATAAAAGAGGGCTATAGCTAGATGGACTCCTCAATATAGACAAACGCTGCTGCAGAGTTGAAAGTGTCTGCTTCTAGCTGTCATATGCAGCTTGAAGCCTTATCCATATATTCATTTTGTGTCCGTTTCATGGGGCATAAAAACAGGAAGTAAGAACGACAACGACAACGACAACAACAACAAACACATGCTGCACGCACATGTGACCGGGCAGGCAGGCAAGTCGACCAGGTTTCAACTTTCATCTCCCGCTCCAAACAGTTTATGATTGATGGAGTCGCGTAGAGTATAGAGAAAAAAAAAAGAATGGAAGGAAATCGACAGATGGAAACGCAGGATAGCCGGCAAAAACAAGTAATTAAAATACCAGGCAGGCAAATGGACCAATGTTAACGGCGGAAGTTGTTCGTCTTTGTTGTTGTTGTTGTTCTTGTTGTTGCAGCCACATGTGTTGCCACAAATGGGCAGAAACGTTAGCCGCATTCGCAGCTCAAACATATTGATTGATTTTTAATTACAAACATTTACCAATGCAGTTTATACAGAGGGTCAAATTCAATACACGCTACGAGAAGTGAGCTGGGGAGGGGGGGCGCTTGGTGGTTTGAGCCAGATTGTAGCCACTAGAAGCGGCTGCTTCAATTTCAATTTCAATTATGCAAATACTTTTTTATTAAACGCATAAACAAATGCGTAGCAACCAACTCATGCAACCAATTCAAATTGGTGGTGCGGGCGGGGTGCTGCTGGTGTTGCAGGTGGTGCTGCTGGCGGACAGTAATGTTGTTGTTGTAGTGTTGGTGCGTGTAATTGCCGGCAGCGACGTCGACGCTGACGCATGCAATTAGCGTTTCAATAGGCAAATGGCAAGAAAGCGAGAGTGAGCCACATCGAGACAGACAGACAGAGAGAGTGCCACAGATAGGGAGAGAGATAGACTGAAGGCGCAGGCAGTTGGCATAAAGTACAAAGTTTTTTGCACCACCCCCCATCCATCCCGTGCCGAGCAATGCGCTGCAGCAATCAATGCGCCATTGTTGCGACGCGTTCGACAATTGAAAATTGCCGAGCTGAAAAACGCTTTTCACTTTTTTTGCAGGAGCAGCAGCAGCAGCTTCCTTCTTCTGCTGCTTCGGCATGTTCCGCATTTGATTGTGTAGTGCCCCTCAAGGACTGCAGCAAGGACTTGTCGTCGCGTGCCACGCTCACAATGGCGAGTGCTCGACAATTTAAAGTTTCGCATTCACAATTCAAGCAAAACTTGCACAAAGTTTCGTAATTGAAAATTTGCCTTTGCCTTGATTTTGTGCCATTTGTATGGCTCTGGACTTGAAGCCATCCATGCCAACTACCTGAAGGCCTTAACAAAATCAAACCACAATTTTTAATTCTACTTTCATGCAAATGCAAAAAACAGTTGAATTTTAATTATTTTTGTTGCCATTGCTGCGGGTTGAAGTTGAGTTTGTCAAAGAAACTTTGTGATTAAAATGGTTAAGAGAGTAAATACAAACACATACATAGTGTGTACATATACATATATATATACAACTTATATACATATATGATATTTATACATATATATATATATTCTATAGTTGGGCATCCCATTCGGAGTCAAATTGTTTTTATAAATAAATGATAAATTCAGTGATAATCGTGTGCTGGGCTTAAAATATCATTTTGAATGTACAGCAATGGATGCTTTGCTTTTATGAATATATACAAATATACAGAGAATATGTATGTAAGCGAGCATATAATAATTTTCAAATCGTGTTGCATTTGTGCCATGCCTCTCATTTGAGAATTGTGCTCGACTAAAGTGCGCCTCGGGCTAAATAAATGGCAAGCAATTTAGTTGGCATTCGAGCGATTCGATCAAGCATTCATTCAATCTATGCATTTGCTGGCTATCCAGACAGACAGACAGACAGACTGTCTGTCCAGCCAGCCAACCTCTCAGCCTGTCTGTATCTGCCTGTCTGTCCGTCTGTCTGTCTGCGTGTCTGTCCGCTTGGCTGCTGTACACGTGATAATTGCTGAGAAGGACACAGCAGCGACTTGGTCCGGCTGGCAAACTTATTGAATCTGTACAATTTGTTGGGCGTTTCTCCTGTTCGCTCGTTGTAATTTCAATTGTCTATGCAAAGCGCCTTGAATCACAAAATGACCAGCATCCAATCCAATAGCTACACTTACCCCGCTCTCCGCTCTCCACTCCCCGCAACCCTCCCCTAGTGGCTATGTGAATCGCATTTCGCTGGCTTTTGTCTCTCGTCGCCTTTTGTCATGTAGCCCATTTGGTCGCATTGCCCCATTCTTCGTAGCACAGCAGCGTTGTCTGCCAGATAAATTTCAATGAATTTGCAAGCGCAGCAGAGCGAGTCCTGGCATCCTGGACGGTCGTTCTGGTCGTCCTTCTGCGTCCAATGCTGGCAACATTTCTTTGTTTATCTTTATACATTTACAATTAAAAGGGCTTCGCATTGTTGTCGCTGTCGTCATATTAATGAATCTGTGTGTATATATTTGTCCAGGACACGCACCGCAAATCCCTATTCACCGCCCCAACCCCCTTCCCCCTACATTCCCCCTACTTTGCACGCCCCATAAGCTAGCACGCATTTCTGATTTACGTTAATTGATTGCAATTTGTTCATGCAAATGCGCCCGTTTATATGCAACGCTTTTTGTTCGCGTTATTTACTTTATTTTATTTTATTTGTTTTGTTTTTTCTTTTGGGAGCTGCAAATCGTGTGCAAATTATTGTGGTCAGATGTGTTTGCTGATTTAATCAAGCGCCTGTCCGCATTTGTTTATTTGCAGATTGTGCATACGACAGCAATTGTCTCATTTAACGAAATCAATAAATTCATAATTTCACTCACCCCTTCCTCCTTGCCCTGGAGCAAATGCACGGCCCCGGAACGCTGGATGCCAGGCAGAAACCACATTGGATGCGTTAGCAGCAGTCGCTCCATCAATCCCAGATCACAGGGCGGCGAATTGTCGCTGGAATCGCGAGAGCTCTCCTCGCTGGATGTTTCGCCCTCGGCCAGGATGCCGCCCTCCGAGCTCGACACGAGAGATGTGCGGGACTGTTAAGGATCAGATAAGAGGAGCAAAGAGTAAACAAAAAAGATATTAAGTATGCGAGCCACAACTAATAGTTTAAATATGCAAATAACAAGCCTTGTCTATGCTAATTTTAAATGTGTATCTTTTTTGGGTATCCACTTAAAATGAAAGCTAACATTTGACTCGACACTAAAAATCAAATTAAAGTATGAGTAACATGTAAGAAGACTAGGAGAATCCTTGAACCCACTTGAGCCGTAATATCAATATAACCAGGCATATTATAAATAAATTGTAAAGTAAATATATATTTTAAAACGGGCGAAATTATCGATATAATTAAATAAATTGGATCTCTGGCCATTATAGTCTCCAAGATTCTTTTTCCATACAGACGAACACGCTTAGCTATCTGGGCTCTGGTGTTGATGCTGATCGACAATATATATTCTTTGTGGAGTCGCAGATACTTCTTTCAGCCTGTTGTAGAGGGAGGTAAACAGTGCTACAAAAAAGCACATAATCTTATATTAAGCTCGCTTATTTTAAAATTAATTAAGTTTGCGGTTTTATTCAATTTTATTCTGATATCTATATATCTTTCTACAGCTTGAACTGTCTGGTTGGGGTTGACTTTTGTGTGATTCGGAATGGATTCGTTGGGTGCGTCTTGTTTCTTGAAGTACTACGTACTTATCCATCTTAAAGGCGCACCTGTTAAGAAATAGAAAATAGAGAATAGAAAACAGAAACAAGAACAACAGAAATCTACTCGACCGCATTTAGTTGCGTTCTGAAGCACCTCTCAAGCTGGCTGGCCATAGAAAGTGGCAGTGGCAGGATATTCGCATCCATCTTGGCATACGCAGTCTTAACTGCTGTCTCTGCCTGCTTGACATATAGCTGTTGGCCATATTAGGGCCCCTAACACACACACTAGTGAATGAACACAGACACAAACATACACATTGTCAAATCTTGAGTGCATTCCCATGTCATGCCATCAACAAAATTTGCTGGGCACAACTTTAAAAGTGCCCGCGAGCAACTGCCAGTCTGCCCGCCTGCCAGTCTGCCAGTCTGCCCGTGTACTCATCATCCCAGCAAGGCTTCAAACAAGCAACGAATCATCATCCATCTAGATATCTACCCAGCAGCATTCTTACACATTTCAACCAAAACAAAACCGACAAATTTCCGCAGCATTCGCGTAGGCGTTTTTAATTGAAAATTGCCGTGGGCGGTCTTTTGATGTTCGGCTCTTCCGGGGCAATGTTCATGTTGAAGCCTCTCACATTTGCCATAACATACTTTTATGCGCCCGCCCCCCCAATCCAAAACTGCAGCCAGGGTGCTCAACTGTATAGAGGACTAAGGGCCAGGGAGTAGACACTAAGCACGAGGATGAGGCCGATGAGGAGTTGGGTTGTGTTGGGCTGAGTAATCAGCACCCTCATTTTGGTGTGTGTAATGATGACAGTGCTGTTAATGTTTGCCAACTGTAAGTGATGCCAAATTGATGCCAAGGCAACAGCGTCACACAGCTTATGCAAATTTCCAAATGTTGAATATATGCAAACATATACCAAATATACAAATGCAAATGCAAATAAAAATGTGTCTAAATAAAATGCTACTGAAAGATAGATAGATAGATAGAAAATGCAAAACTCAATGAACTTGCCATACCCTATTGAAATGCTTAACAAATATTCAAACTTATTAGTTTCATTCGTATATATAAAAGAGAGTATATATTTTACTAAACATTTCCTTTCTTAATAAATTATTTGAATTAAGAGCTTTGTCAACACATTTAATTAGATACCCTTTTTGTTTCTATTAAATTGTATTGTTATTATTTTAATATGTTATTTCCAAAAGAAAAAAACAAATTTCTAGTGGATTTTTGTATAAAATTTCAGTTGAAAGTTTTTTTTTTTATATTTGGCAAGTAGAGAAGAGATGATAAATGCAGAGGCAGAGAGCTGCATAGAATATTTATAGCATTGGTAATGTAATCAATTCTACCTCTATTAATATAAATTTCTGTTTGATATACAGGCGAAAAAGAAATCAAGGTAGCAGTTGCCACTTCAGAAGTCAAACCAGCAACACAAAAAAAAATGTCAAGTGGCCAGCTACAAGTTGCCTCGTGTCTCAGCCCAAGCTCAACCCACTCATTTGCTCGTTACCGCTAACAGCGTCATGGATAGGGTTGTTCATTATATATATATACATATATATATATATATATATATAAATTTATATACACATATTATTTTTCTTGGTTTGTGTTTGGGTCTGGTGAAAACTTGTAGCTGGGCCAAAAGGGTCGCGTCACTAATTGAGTTATTTCTGGCCGACTGTCAAATTAGGTTGCCCAGGCACACACACACACACACACACACACACACACACACACACACACACACACACACACACACACACCCACAGACACAGACACAGGCAAACAGACACCTTTTTTATGAAGTATATGTTTCTATAGCGATCTTTGGTATCTGCGTGCAAATAGAAATTTGATTTACGCGCCAGCAGCGAATTTTAATTTTTGATGTCATTTATTAAACGGGTTTTTCGCAGGTTGCCTTTTTGGTGACCTTTTTCTGGCATTAATCATACGCCGCGTTGTCAAAAGTCGGAAATGAGATGAGAAAATCATAAAGAGAGAAGGAGAAATAGAGAGATAGAGAGAGAGAGAGAGAGAGGTAAAAATCTCAAGACAACAAAACGCAATGGAATAGAAATGGAAATGCTGCAAACCGTTGCCTGTTTATTTGCCAACCATTTAAATGCGAGAGACAGACAGTAAAAAAAATAAAATAAAATAAAATAAGAAATGGCGAAAAAAAGGGAAAATTGCGCAAATCCCTTGAAGAAATGTTTGAAATATTTCAAAGCGCACAGCAGGACACAGCAGAATAGGATAGCAGGACGTCCCGCCAAGCCCAGAGCGTCGAGAATGTAGCAAAAATTATGCTTAAATCAAAAATCACAGCACAAAACAAAAAAAAAATACAAAAAACGGAAAGAAAATACGCACACAGGGTTGCCAGGGTTGCGGTTGCGACGGGACTACCCCTTATGTGCCAAGCCCAGCGCCAAGCCAGAGCGTAGCCGAGCGGCAACTGGAACTGCTGTGAGGTAAATGCTGCGCATATTTTATGCCCTGCATTAAGTCTTAAGTATTGCTTATTAAGGCGACGAGTCCTTTTTTTATGCAAGCATAGATATATATATATATATATATGTGTATATAAAACTATTCGGTAGCAAGATTGTTGTTGATGGGGCAACGAGTGGCAGACAGGCAGACTGGCAGCCCGGCAGTCTAACAGTCTAACAGTCAGGCAGTCAGCAATAATGCGTTACTTATTAAGTTAGCCGAGCTCTCATTTGTTTACAGATTTTCCATGCATATACATAGAATACATACATATTTCTGAGGCTGGCAGCAACCCTTGGTAGCAACACAAAAAATGAACAGAAATGAACACTGGGGAAAGCTCTCTAAGTAGCCCGACTGCATTTTCAAGTGCCACTGGGGGTTGCTGCCACTGCTGCCACTGCTGCTACTGCTGCTACTTGCTGGTCGCATGTGTGCCAGCAAAATATGTATGATTTTGGCTAAAGGGTAGGCTAAAGGCGGCAGTTGGTGTCGGTCGGCAGTTGGGCGTTTTTGGGTTGTACGCTTAATGTTAAATGCAAACAGTCGCGAGACTTTAAATTTTGCCCGCTTTGGCTTTGGCGCTTTTGCTTCAGCTGTCTACAACACAGTGACTGCAACAGAATGTTGCAACACAAAGGCCAGCCAAGCGGCGCGAACAGACAAACAGCAGCCAAATCTACAGCTGTAGACGCAGCAGCAGCAGCAGCAGCTGGAGCAACCGGAACGCTTCAAGCAGTGAATCTCTCTCTTGTGGACCTTTCAGGGTCAGGAAGCAGCAGCAGACAGAGACACAAGCTGCAGACATTGTAGTTGTAGTTGTAGTTGTTGTTGTTGTTGTTGTTACTGTTGCAACCCAGACAACGAAAGTAAGTTGACTTCCGTTTCAGGCGGCTGAAAATGAAAATCGCCATTGACGATGCTCCTGCTCCTGCTGCTGCTGCTGCTGCTGCTGCTGCTGCTGCTGCTACCACTCTACTCTACATCGCCCCTCCCACTTCCCACCTCACCACCCCAAATGCCCCCAAATAGCGCACCACCCCAAATGCCCCCAAATAGCGCACCTTTTGTTAAATATTAGCCCGTCTGTTTTGGCTGCCTGCTGCTTTTCCAATATTGGCAACAATTTCGCCATTTGGCCAACCAAATTCAATATAAAAATTCCCAGCCAAGCGACACAATATCTCAACTAGAAACACACGCACACAGCACACTAACTACTGCAATGCATTTACCTGTTCAAAGTGTCTAGAGTGGGAGGTGGCAGGGCATGGGTAGACAACCACTAATAAATTGCACAACAAATTGCAGTGCAGCATTGCAGAGAATAAAGAGAATAAAATGCGACCGCACAAAAGTATGCAATGAAATATTTCAAATGCGACAAATGTCGAAAAGCAAAAAAGAAGAAACACTGCAAATTGAGATGGAGTTCCAGGAGCAGCAGCTACTGTGACCGATTGAACTCACTCCAGAGATGCTACTACTATTTTACCGCATGCACATAATTAATTGTAATTTATCTTAACTTTTCAGATTTCGGCAAGTGATGCCAAAACACACAAAAAAAAAGATTCAGACTTTCTTGAATTTTTCAAGTTCGTTCAATTTAAAGTGAATTTTGTGAATTATCTTTATAATTGGCAAAACATCTGATCGAAATTAAGTACCTTTATTGGTTTTCATGGTTAATACATGATATTTAAGTGCTAAAACTGAGCAAAGTTTGCAAGCTCTAAATGAATCCTATCGCTGAACTCCTCGAATAGAGTAGCCAACAATATCTCATAAAAAGTATCATATTTTGGCAAAAAACACAAAAAAGATGTGCAC